AGCATGCTGTCCTGACAATGCCAACGCGGCATTTGAAGAAGCGGGTATTGTTCCGCTATCGCTTGATGGCATGATGAAAGGAATTATTGGCAACAAACCTGTTGTGACACGTGATAAACTTATATTTATGAGACAAGCTGCACCACCAACACCATTGTTCGATGTTACGGATCGCCAGAAGCGCGTCATGAGAGAGTTAGACCTAAACGTGGATGCGCTCAACGTTGTAAATCTGTTGTCCAGAGCTGTTGTCGCCCCAGTCCAACAGAAGCGAAAGAGAGGACATGGGTCGATGAGAACTATTCTGGTGGTCAGTTGCTATTCTACGAGATGATGGTTGCCGCAGTTGAAGCAAAGGCCACAGCTAGTTTGAGAGATAAACAAGAAATCTGCATCACGCGAGAAAGGTGAACGAGACGAGATGAACTTGCACGACAAAGCAGAGCACCTCGCGGAGAAATCAAAACGGAAGCTGAAAAAAGAAGAGCGAGAATCGCACGTGTGATTAAAAAGTTGAAAGCCAAGGATGAACGAGCTACTGCCCAAGCAAAAAGAAGTTCAGCGCGCGTATCGAAGAAGAGAAAAAAAAAACTGTCTAAATCGACATGAGACTCTGCAGTTGTAGTAGATGTGGTAATGTCGGCCCTCGTCTAAAGTACTCCATACTAAAATAGCCGGACCCGAAATATGCATGTGGGTGTATTGGATCCATACAATAATCAAGATAGTTAAATTGCGACCCGAAATATGCATGTGGGTGTATTGGATTCATACAATAATCAAGATAGTTGAATTGTACCCGAAATATACAGGGCACGAATACCGGAAAATAATGGGAAGTACCCGAATTATGGCGGTCTGCTTTATTGTAAAATCTGGCTGCTTTGCCTATATCCTTCCTAAATCGGCCGTTTTTTGTGCATCGATTTAGCAACCTAAAATATTATGTATTGGTCATTACATTTAAAATAACGTCTGGATATTCCGATTTATGCTCATTTTTACCAGACCTATTTATAGTAGCAGCAATAATCAGCAACCATTTGGGGAGAAAGCCCACTTTGCAAACGACATTCATCAAGACACAGCATACTACCACCCAGTCCTGACCCCAGCTCGTGTACGAGTGAAGGTTGGAAAAATTACCCAGACAAGCAGGGCAGATTTTTCCTGGTCGAGTGCCTTTTCCAATACTAAATCATGGAGGGCAACCTCGTCAGACTTAGCATTTCTAGCCTGGAAACGTACTGTACCCACCACTTCTTCTTGCAAAAAATGGGGCTCAAGCGAAACAATGAGAACACGGCACAATTGCTGCCTGCCATCTTTTCCAGTGAAGAATTGTTGCCGACCGTGGTCGTGTATGATGTCATGGCAGAGCTTGAAATACTGGATTACTCGCTCGCTCACATCGCTTTCAGACAGGTCCATCCTTAGCATCTCACGCGTTTCGTGATCTACATCAGGAACACTATTGTTCTTTACACTTGAGATGATTTTGTCAATTTCGGTTAGGATCAGTTCATCCGCAACGTCGTCAATTGACAGGCGCCAGCGCAAGCGGCACCACATCCGAAGCAACCCTTCGTCAAAGGTCGTCTTAATGGGGACGACTTTGCCATCCGTACCGCCCTTGGCTCGGTTACGGATGGCCTCCTCATACTCATGCATTTATTGTGTTATTTGACGAGCAAAACATGCGAGGTACTCGATAAGCGCGGCGATAGCACCGGGGTGAAAATCGGCATTGTGTCGCGGCAGTTGTCTTCCGGTACGTTCGTGGTCGATCGAGTCTTGGTCATGGTCGTGTAGCAGCGTAAGCACCGCTAAAGGATTCTTTGTGGTGTATCAGATACTAACACGTGATAATGGAGCCGATGGTGCTCCCTAGTAGCTGCCGTTGTTTGTTGCTAGGTAAATAGCAGAATGAACCTATCAAGACTAGGTCTACTTATCTTGGAGGTGCTGCTTTCAGAGGCGGCTTCATTTATTTGGACACAGTGCGTGTCATCACGCTTGTCGTTGTGCATTTGCTTGTCAACATGATTGTCGATACATGTAAGCGTGTCTGGCATTATCTTGGTCTGGCTCTGGTCTGTGCGTGGCGCCAGAGACGAGTGCGTGCCAGTGCTCTAGCTGGTGTCTGTACGTAGTGCAGTGCAGGGCACTACACTACAAACTTACTGTATGATGGAGTGGAGGTTATGAATTTAAATAGTAGAATGCGATTTAACAGGGATCCGTTGTTCTGCACTTTGCGTAACTTTTCAAGTGAGCTTGAATTTGGCTGGGATATGTTTTATAGCACACCGGTCGACGTTTACTCCGCCAGGAAGTGGTTGTCTGAAGGCTGGAACAACATATCTGCAAAGACTATTAGAAATTGTTGGTGCCACACAGGCATCGTCTCAAAACTAAACGTAAATG